GCCTGGCCTACCCACCAGGTCAGTACCGGATGCAGACCAGCTTGGTTATTGGCCGTCCCGTGTCTCGACAGGCTTAATGCCCCAGCCGATAGGGTAGATGTGCCTTAGCACCTGGTACTTGACTGAGGGGCCCCGTCAGCCACTACATCTTCAGGTGCCAAATCCTGGGAGCAAATCTCTGCATCTCCATGAGCATCTTTATCCCTTTTCTGGAAACCCTGTCTCCTGGGCACCCAGGGAGCCCGGGGGCAGGGTAGTTGGCTCTGTATAACCTTTCTGAGGGCCTGAGGACCAAGAGAGATCTGACTGTTTTCTGTGTAGAGATGGCCCCTTCTCTCTGAGCTGTAGGCTTCTCATTAGTGGAGTACATAGCACAGTGGGACTAGAGCATCAGACAGTAGGCAGGTGTGTGCACCCGGCACATAGTAGGTGCTCAGTGCAGTCAGCTGAGCCGGGAAGCACGGGACTGCTTCCACGGGACTGTTGACTGTAACGAAATAGTCCCGCACTAGCTCAGAATGTAATAGACATGGGTTAAATTAAGATGTAAGGGTTAGTTAATAAGAAGCCTAAGCTAATAGGCCAAGCAGTGTTTTAATTAATACAGTTTCTGTGTGATTATTTTGGGCCTGGGTCTCCAGGAAACCAATGAGTGGTCTCTGCCTACAGAAGTAGTGAGGGAGTTGGAGAGAACATATTTTTTTGTTTGTTTTTGTTTTTCGAGACAGGGCTTCTCTGCAGCTTTGGAGCCTTTCCTGGAACTAGCTCTCATAGACCAGGCTGGTCTCGAACTCACAGAGATCCGCCTGCCTCTGCCTCCCGAGTGCTGGGATTAAAGGCGTGCGCCACCACCGCCAGGCTGGGAAAACAACATTTGAGGTAGAGGGACAGTACACTGGGTGGCCTAGAGCTGAGGTACAAAACCATCATCCTGGAATGACTCTGGCCCCCGGAGCTCACAGGAGCCTGGGTGGCTGTGGGTCTAATGCCCGTCAATCATATATTGGGGCCATTTCCTTTCCCTGCTTTTCAGGCTGCCTTCCTCACAGAGCAGGCTGGAGTTGCTCTTCTAATTAACTCTCCAACAAACCATCCCGCTGGGCCCTCTGATGTTGCCTCAGCACCTCTCACCTCCTGGCTCGGCAAGGAAGGGACCACGACATTCCCCAGCGCAGACGCCACACTTGCTCTCATGCAATACCAGTGACCCTCTTTTTCCAAGGGCAGCCTCCCTGGCAGCCACCTTTGAAGTGTCTTCTGGCTCCCTCCTGGGAAGCGTCTGACTGCTCATTGTTTACCGGGTTTGCAGCACCTGTGTCCGCCCTGGTGGGTGCACATCTGGGCTGGCGTCCCAGTTGGAGAGCCAGCCAGGCACCACCTGACCTTGCCTAGGCCCCTGCCCACCCCCCAATGAAGGGCTCAGAAGCCCGATGCCAACTGCGCTGCCACGGAAATTTAGAAAACATCTTAAAACGGAACCTGGCAAGGCGGTTGCTTTTTAAAAAGTTTCGTAAAGCTGGGTTCTCTCCAATTTTAAATTAGAACAAGCTTCAGGAAAGAAAATTGGGAAAAACAGAGGGAAACCGAAGGAGGAACAGTTGTGCTGAGTTCCGAGGACAAACATGCTCGCCAATTAGACGGCTGTCTTCGGGGGCCCGTGCCTTTTGTTTGGTTTTTCCGAGACAGTCCCAGGCAGCCCAGCCGGCCTTCAACTCCCTGCATAGCCAAGGACGGCTTTGAACTCACGACTCTCCTGCCTCCACCTCCTGAGTGCTGAGGTGACAGGCATCACCACCGCACCTGACTGGGACCTAGTCTTTTAATTTTTTTTTTAAATAATTTCTGTGTGTAGTTTCTGTGTGTGTGCACACAAGGTCGACTTGGGGTGTTGTTCCTCAGTGGCCGTCTACTTTGTTCCTTGAGGCAGGCTCTCCCACAGGAGTTGGGGCTCAAGGATTCAAGTAGGCTGACTGGCCAGTGAGCCCCAGGGTTATCCTGTGCCCTCCCTGCACCCAGTTCTTTATGCTAAGGATTCTAACTCAGGCCCTGGGGCTCTCCGTCAGGGTCTCCTTTATGACCCCGCACAGTGCCTTGGGTCTTTTCTTCTTTACCGTTTTGACTCTAACTTTCCTGGGTGTCTTCCACTCTGCTGACGATCTCGGGCTTTGGTCACAGTGAGAACTGCTGTCCTGGAGGTCCCTTTAGCTATTTCTTCAGATCCTCAGTTTTCCCAAGTCTATAAAATGCCTTGATGATTGGTCTGCGCTTTTAGGCCATGACCCCCCCACCCACGAAGGCCTTTTTTTGTCAGTTGCTGGGAATATTCCTGCGGCTCCTCATCCCTGTCACCAGACTGCTTCCCAAAGGGACAGTATATTCACTCTAAATTTTCCTTTTGTTGTGGGGAAATACACATGGCTTAGGAGTGGATCCACTTTTAAGTGTGTGCAGTTTGGGGTCACACATTCCCCCTGCTCTGAAGCTGTACCGAGGGCTTTCAACTTAAGAAACAGAGTAAGCTGCCCTCCTCCAGTCCCTGCAACCCCCTTATAAAATGATTATTTTTTAAAAAAAATATTTGTTTTACTGTCTAATTATGCATATGTGAGCGAAGGTGCCGAGGAGGCCAGAGAGGCTGTTGGGTCCCTTGGCACTAGAGTTACGGGCAGTTGTGAGACCCAGTGTTGGGAATTCTAGTACTCTGTGAGAGCCAAATACCAGGCCCTGTACTACTGGCGTGTGTGTGTGTGTGTGTGTGTGTGTGTGTGTGTGTGTGTGTGTTGTGTATGTGTATGTGTATATGGTTTGTGTGTGGGGTGTGGTTGTGTGTATGTGGCGAGTATGTGTGTGTGTGTGGTGTGTAGGTATGTGTGGTGCATATGAGGGGTGTGGGGGATGTGGGAGTGTGGGAGTGTGTGTGGTGTGTATGTTTGGTGGGTGGTGTGGGTGGTGTGTGAATGTGTTTATGGTATGTATGTCATGTTGTGTGGTGTGTGTATGTGATGTATGTATGTGTGGTGTGTGTGATATGTATATGTGAGGGTGTGTGTATGTGTGTATGTATGTAATGTGCGTATGTGGTATGTATGATGTGTGGTGTGTGTGTGCATGTGTACATATGGAAGTCAGAGCAGGTCAACAAGTGTCTTCCTTTATCATTTTCTACTTTGTGCCTTTTGATAGGGTCCCTCACTGAACCAAAAGCTTGCTGTTAGGCTAGGATGGCTGGCACTAAGTGCTTGGGGGTCTGCCTGTCTTTGCCCTCCCCTATTCCCATCCATTCCATTCTGGGGTTACAGGTACTTGCAGCCCTGCTTGACTTTACACAGGTGATGAGATTTGAACTTGAGTCTTCACGCTTGCCAAGCGGGTGCTGCTATCTTCTGAGCCGCCCTCCAGCCCCTCCCGGCACTGTCTCTGTGTGTGCGATGCCAGGCATGTTGGCAGTGTTGATCTGATTTGACACGCTCCTTCCGTCTAGCACCACACCCTCAGGGCTTGACTGTACTTTCAGGGGTCAGGTTGTCCCACTTTCCTAAGCTGAACAGCTGCCCCTCGCACGGCTGGGCCATTTGTGTGACATGTGCTTGGCTGTCCTCCACCGTGGGTGCTGTGAACACAGACGCACATGTGTCTTCCTTGATGCCTGCCTCAGCTTTTTTAGGATATGTCACTCTGAGCCTGCCAGGCTGTCGGGTAAGACTGGCTTCCACATTTCTAGTGACCTGCTCCTGTTAGCCACAGCGGCGGGGCGGCATTTATTAACACTTACCATGCACAGAGTGGCCTCTAGGTTGTCACCAACACTTGCTATTGCCTGGTGTGAGTGGTGTGCGTGTGTGTGCGTGTGTGTGTGTATGGGTGTGTGCGGTGTGTGCGTGGGGTGTGTGTGGTGTGTGCATGGGGTGTGTGTGTGTGGTGTGTTGAGCGTGTGGTCT